ACTGTGTGTTTTGTTATCAGCTGATCAGTTTTCAGAATTTTTTTTTTGTGTTCACGTCCCCTCCGAATTCTGAGATTAGCAATACTGATCTGTGCGCGTGTCAGTATAGCTACTGAATCCACTTATATGTATACTTGTGTAGTATATTATGGATCGTATCATCCATGTATATATTTAGGCTCCCTGGTCGGTAGGCTCAGTGACTAGCATGTGTGACGTCACGTGATGCTGTTGTGAGCCCTTCGCGCCTGGGATCCCTCTCAGTTCCTGCATAGGTCTACAACAGGCAACAGGGCAGTTTGGTCCCACCCTTCTCACTCTCTGCAATATAGTGTTACCATCCAACAAGTGTGTTTATCTCCTACGATCCCCCACTACACTTTGACGTTGGTTTCTCGCTCTATTTTGTGGCCGGAATTTGTTTTGCACTCTGATGAAGTTTTAATTTCCTCCTGTTTACCATATCGGAGTAATTGAAATTCCTCATCGTTGAACTTCATATTGTTTTCTGCAGCCCATTGAAAGATTTGATTGATGTCTGCCTGGATTGTACCTTATGGAACAGAGCTTTTCACTGTAGCCAGCGCTGACTTTACTCTCTTTACTATTACTCTTTGTGTTTTATTTGTTAGGCAGTTATAGATCCATCTACCCACTTTTCCTGTTATTTCTTTATCATGCATGTTGTGTGCTTTTACACCATGGTCACACTTGTCGAAGACTTTTGCAAAATCTTTGTATACTACATCTGCTTTTTGTTTGTCCTCCAGTTCATCGAACACCATGTCATAGTGGCCTAGTAGTTGTGAGAGACAGGAGCGACCCATGCTGCCCTGGACTGTACAATTATCGGGTGTCCCGGTGGTTGGGGATCTTGCTTTTTACAGCACTTTCAAAGATTTTTATGTGGGACGTTAGTGTTATCGGTCTGTAATTCTTTGTAATTGCTTTACTGCCACTTTTGTGAAGTCTGGCTATGTTTGTTGTTTTTAGTGTGTGTGGGATGACACCAGTGTGTATGCTCCTTCTCCATATAATATTTAAGGTATGTGAAAAGTGCTTCTTGCAGTTCTTGATGAACACGGAGTTCCACGAGTCTGGGCCTGGGGCAGAGTGAATGGGCATGTCATTTATTGCTTTCTCGAAGTCCTGTGGTGCCAGGGTTATAACAGAAATTCTTGAATTAACCAAATTTTGAGTTTGGCATGAAAAAAAATAATTTAAATTGTCATCCCTTAGTCTGATTAACGGCTCACTAACTGCTGAGTCATATTGGGACTTTTGTATCTCACTCATTTCATTGCTGTCACATGTGTATGTCTCGTTTAAGCAGGAGCCCAATACTGGTTGTGGTTCTGCCCTAGATTTAGCATGAGAAAATATATTTTTTTTTCAATTTCACTTATTGATTTAAGTTTTTCCTGTATTTCTTGGCTCCTGTATGATTCTTTAAGCTTAAGTTAAATATTTTCTATTTCTTTGGCCAGTGCTTTCTTCTGTATTTCAGGTATACTGATCTCTTTAAGTAGCTGTGATTTCTTTGCCTTCGCCTGTAGAAGGAGCATCTCTCTCTTTCTAGTTTACATCTTCTCTTCTTGTTTCTTAGGGGGATGTGCCTTCAGAGAAGTTTTTCTTCAGCACAATATGCTGCTACTTACTTTAGTATTTTTTGTGTAAAACTCTATTAAAAACTAAAAAAGGAACATCATAATCCTTACTAAAGAAAGCTTTTAAATTAAGTTAAAAATATCTCTCGTGAATCTGTGTTGTAATATATATTAATAAAACTGTGTTCATCAATGTGGAATTTGATTCTACCGGCGACAGTATTAATGATTTTAATAAGTTACCTAATATTTAGGCTAACTGGGCGGTAATCTGATGGTAGAGACATTTCTCACATCTCTGGAGTGATAACCATTTGCAACGAAAAGACTAGAAAACGGCTCACTAAATTCCATCTTGAATATTTTAACAAACCTAGAAAAAGAGTTCGTCAGAGCCCAGATGCATCTACTTCCTTGATAAGCAGGTCTCTAGTGACTAAAATATCACGTAATATATTATCTTCACAATCTTCTACAACAGTGGTTCTTAACCTTTTTCGTCCTATGACCCCCCAAAACTCTTCAGGGTATTACCGGGACCCCTATAATAAGTTTTGAAATGGTGAACCTTGTGAAAAGGTAACATAAAACAAAATGATAGGAAGACCATAGTTTATTGAAAATGTCACAGAACAAAAATCTTGAAAAATTCCACACAGCCTCTACAAATGCCAGAGCATTGCAAATTCCACCGAACTATTGAACATCCTACAAAACCACAGTGGGAGGGTTGAAACTGTTTTGCAGCCATAAGTCTATCATAGCGAGGAGCGGTGCTCGACAGGCAACACCTCATGTCAGTGGAAACATAAATACATATGCAGTTTAATGTGATCCTTTATTGACTGCATATGTGTTTATGTTTACATTGTGTCGGTATTTTATGCAATTTATTTTCACCTCATGTCAGCATCGATCACAAGCCTATTGCGTGCCTTCGTTCTCGGTGTTACCATTGCGATAGGTTGATGGGGACTGGATCAGCATGGTTAGTGCACGCATCGAAAGAATGGGACAGTCGTCCTGCACTTTTGCCCAAAATGTCGGGAGCTCTTGTTCAATAAAGTCGACTTACAGCTGAGATTCCTCACGAATTTGAAGAAATTCTACCCTAGCAGCAACATCAGTATCACTGATGGCACTGTCCTTGAATGAAAAGCGTCTATAGATCCACACATCAGTACAGCAGCCGTCCAGTCCTGGAAAGTAACTTTCGATGGTGTGATTCACTGCCAAAGATGAGCTGAGATCTCTTCTTGGAAAGTGCATTCACCATCTGGAATAGAATCCAGGAGAGTCGTCATCTGAGTGAAGAAAGTTGTGTCACCGTCCTCAACTCTTTACTGGTAAAGTTGAACCTTACACTTGAATGCAGCCACTTTGTCACGAGCTGTGTGCAGCATTGTAAGGTTTCCTTGGAGTGAAATATTCAGAGAAGAAATCTACCAAGTAGGCAACCTTTGTTACAAAACAGTCATCCTGCATCATTTTATGAAGAAGATTCTCCTTCGCCGTACGACCTCGTTCCAACGGCATTGTTATTTCCTCTCCAAGTTGTAGCGGGCGATTTAGAATCTTGCCACGTGAGAGCCAACGTACCTCAGTGTGAAATAGGAGAACAGAAGTCAGCACCCATTTCTTCACAAAGCACTTTAAAAATCCTTGAAGCCGTTGCTCTCACTCGGATATGGTTCACAATATTGACAATGCCTGCGAGCACTTCTTGAAGTCCAGGTGGGAAAGTCTTCATCGCTAAAGAATGCCGATGAATCATACCGTGAGTGAAGGAGACATGCGGAGCGACGTTCTTCACGAAGGCTTTGAAGCTGGATTTGCAACCGGTCATAGAAGGAGCCCCATCTGTACACACTCCGACAAGTGCTTCCCAGCGTAGCTTGTGTTCAAGGATTTTGAAAATATCTTCTCCACAAGTGGTTGTAGCCAATGGTTCAGAGAACAAGTACTCCTTCATAACTTCCCTGTCAAGGTAACGAACATAAACAAAAAGTTGGGAACATGAAGCAACATCCGTTCACTCGTCCAGTTGCAATGATTACACTGGACTACTCCTCACAGCAGCCACTACCTGCAGCAGAATATCCTCACTCATGTCCGAGATCCTACTTCTGACTGCATCATTCGAAAGGAAAATTGCCCTCAACTAGTTTGACAAGAACCCCCTTAGCTGCTTCCAGAATGCAAGGCTTAATCAGGTATTCGCCAGTGGTATGAGGCTTCTTGGTCTTCACGATTTTAAGAGCAATTCTGTATAAATCCTCCAACGCTGCTTCATTCTGAAGAGTGAAGTAAACAGTGGAATCGATACGACTGGATTTCAGAGAAGCTTCTTTTTGCTTGAAAAAGTCGAAGCTTTTGTCTACCAGATGGCTGTGGCAAGGCTCAAAATGGTCCTTCAGTTTGCTTGGCTTCATACTCTAGTGACTCAAAACTTTGGTGCAAACTACACATTGCGGCTTGACCACAGAGTTCTGAATGATGCTTGTGAAACCCATCTTAAGAAAAGCTTCATTGTACTTACGCTTCTTAGCAGACAGTGCAAAAAGGCAACCGCCTTGGGTCTCACGCAGCAAGAGCAACATACAGACATCCCCTACCATAGCTATGCACTGACTGACTGGTTGTGGTTGATGTGTTTACTGTAGCAGACCACTGCACGTGTGATCAGTGTTGCCACTCATCATACTGGTAAAAGCCCAACTGGGTAATTCAGATATATGAAAATAAATTATATTCTCCCGAACCCTTTGTGACCCCCCAACTCCCGAGAAACTCCAAACAACCCCCGATGGGGTCACGACCACCAGGTTAGGAACCGTTGCTTTAAAATTATTAATTACTGAAATATCATTCGTGTCTTCTTGTGTAAAGATTACTGGTAAGTAATTATTAATAACTTATCACATTTCCCTCTCGTTAACAGTAAGCTAGCATTAAGGTAACTATTTTCCTTTATTTTTTCTCTATACTTGAGTAGCAGTAGTAATACAATCAGTACAATCAGACGCCTGGTCACAGGCATCTGATTGTACTGAGTGATCCCCAGACGCCTAGTTACAGGCGTCTGATTGTACTGAGTGATCCCCAGACGCCTGGTCACAGGCGTCTGATTGTACTGAGTGATCCCCAGACGCCTGGTCACAGGCGTCTGATTGTACTGAGTGATCCCCAGACGCCTGGTCACAGGCGTCTGATTGTACTGAGTGATCCCCAGACGCCTGGTCACAGGCGTCTGGGGATCACTTCTTTCTATACTGGAAAGAATCCTTTTGGGCTTGTTTTGAATTTATTTACAACTTTAATTGACACTGCAATATGTGTGACCACTAGGTGTAATATAGTGTGTATGAACTAGAGGGAAGCTTGGTGCATCAGGTACACCTGGAGGAACACTGCCGGTGCTGCTAGTGGACGAGCAGGTGCTGCGACAGTCCATGGCCATCGCCAGGTATGTGGCCAGGGAGGCCGGCCTCGTGCCCCAGGACAACCTGGAGTCCGCCTTATGCGACGCCCTCGTCGAGACTGTCATGGAACTACAACAACAGATGATAAAGATCATGTTAGTTCTACCTTCATCCAGTCTTGTTTCTTTACTTACTACCACTCTCACCAGCACCAACACCTTGTGTTCACCACCAGCACTACCACTCTCACCAACACCTTGTGTTCACCACCAGCACTACTGTAGACAGCCTGTACTGTCTGCATAGACAGCCTATGCTGTCTGCCAGCTTAGTTCATATTTCGCGGCACTCAGGTGCTGCCCTCTCCAGGCCTGCCCAGGTCAGTGGGACGCTGGACTCACACTCGCACTCAGCAGCCTAGAAGCAATCAACAGTCTACTCCCTCTCTCCCTCGCTGGGCATGGCCCTCCCGGGCCATGGACACAACACACAAGCCTGTGTACCCACCACGACTTTGCAGAGCAAGAAGAACTCTCCACAACTCTATAACTGAACCCCGCTACCAGAAACACCAAATAAACTCATTAAACATTGGTGGGAAGTGGTGGTCACAGCAGTTGTGTTTGCCCGGAGAGAGAGAAAGGAAATAGAATGAAGTCATCTTCATTTTATCACCCTATACAAGAAGCATCCGCCTCTCAATGAGTTATCCTGATATCGTGTCTGCACGTTTCAGCATCCAGACACAGGTACAAGCAGGATCTAACCGAAATTGCCGAATTTCTTCGAGAATTGTAAGTGGCATCCCAGTGACCCAACGACACAGCGTCGCACTCTGTTTCTCAAGTCACGTGTCCAGCATCACTTGTATGTTCTACTGTTGTTGTTCAGCTCAGCACAGCTATTTCAGCAAGCCAGAGGTGAGTTTTGTGGTGATTTCTGCGTCCAGCGTGCATGTCTCTGTGTATGTGGAGGAGGAAGTGGCTGTTCCTCTTCTTGCCCACGCTCGCCCTACTCACACCTCACCACACTACCATCCACCACTATGTGCTCACTCCCACTGCTGTATTTTCTGCTGTTTTCCATGTGAATTGATTGCCAGAGCTGTGTATCCGAGTGCCCGAGGCCACTCGAAGCCACGTGGATCACGAAGCCACATGGATCAGCAAGCCACATGGATCAGCAAGCTATGTGGATCAGCAAGCCATGTGGATCAGCAAGCCATGTGGATCAGCATGCCACGTAGATCACGACACCACGTGGATCCTGACGCCACGTGGGGTGTGGACGAAGCCACATGGATCTACGAGCCACATGAGTTACCAATGCTGCTGCCCGACTTAATGACGTCACGATGTCTGCCTGACGTCACCTTGAAATGCTTGCTGACGTCACAATGCTGCTGATGTCACCTTGCAACATCACGCCTAACATCACATGATGTCACATCGAGTGTTTCAGTAATTATGTCAGTATTGTTGAGAAGATTGAGAGATATATGTTGTGTGTTAATTAATTCCTCTCAGTCAGTGTTCTCATATAGTGTATGGCTTAGTGTCAGTTTTGTGCACAGAAAAGCATCATTTGCTAGTTTAAGCCATGTTGTACATGTACTGCAGGTGTGTGTAAAGTTTTCCATGTGTTCTGTGTGGCCTTGAGCCCAGCTGTGTCGACCACAGGTCTGCAGCCAGACCCCTGTGTAGCTCTTTGTTGCCTGTCACCCGGTGTGACCAGCATGTTTGACAGCTGATATTAGTCATCCATGAGCATATGAGCCCCTTTGCACAGAAAGCTCTTATGCTCGTCGCTCATAGATGTTCTGCAGAATCGTACCTGCTACGATTCCCATCGCGATTTGTTTCACTTCACCTCCAGACCTTCAGAGTGCAGTTATATGTAGAGAAACAAGTCTGGGGATGCTTAGACTATCCTCTGCTATAACTCCAACTGCTGAGAGAATGACACTCGTCAAGCCGCAGTTAGCCCTGTCGGCAGGCACTGTGTCAACTTCGTGTCACAAACTTCAGTGAGCTCCTGCACAAAGATGATGTCACTTTGACAGCTAGCTCACTCACTGCAGTATGTTGTATGATGTTACGACTCCCAGATGTTTCACCCAGTCGTCTCTGCCACGACTCGCTCCACGACTCACTCCACACTCGCCGGCAGTGACAGCCCAGCGACAGTACCAGTCAAAAAGTGTTCTCCTGAGTCGCTAACCAGAAGTCCTGCCCAGTTACCGAGTTTTGATGATGCCTCACCCGAGGGCACCAGCATGTTGTGCCCCAGGTTGAGTGAAACCTGCAGTGACTCCTACAATGACTGCTTCACTGTTCTAGAGGAGATCGTACCCTGTTATGTCACAGCTCAGCTGCAGCGATGTCTCCTGTGTTGCAGTATCTGTCCAGATGCAGGAAGGCGTGTAGTGATGCCCCTCGATGCTCACTGCCTATGACCACGATATTTAGCACACCCCACATGTTTTTTTCTTCCCTCCCTGTAGGAAGTTTTTTTTCCCATGTCCATATGTATATATATGTTTCTTATTTTGTGTTCTGTGCCCTGTTCCTACAAGAGAGGGACCGAGTTTTTTTTTACCACCAGTATTGTTGCATCGGGACGACGCGAGGTAGGTGGCCGAGCGTATGTAGACAGCCTGTACTGTCTGCATAGACAGCCTATGCTGTCTGCCAGCTTAGTACATATTTCGTGGCACTCAGGTACTGTCCTCTCCAGGCCTGCCCAGGTCAGTGGGATGCTGGTCCCACTCACTCTCAGCACTCACACAGCAGCCTAGAAGCAGACAACAAGTCTTACTCCCTCTCTCCCTCGTGCGATGGCCCTCCCCGGCCACGGGCACACAACACACAAGCCTGTGTACCCACCACGACTTTGCAAATAAAGTAAAGAAGCCTTCGAAGATGTATCATTCACTCACCCGCTGCAGCATCACCAAATAATCTGTTTCACATTACCACTCTCACCAGCACCAACACCTTGTGTTCACCACCAGCACTACCACTCTCACCAGCACCAACACCTTGTGTTCACCACCAGCACTACCACTCTCACCAGCACCAACACCTTGTGTTCACCACCAGCACTACCACTCTCACCAGCACCAACACCTTGTGTTCACCACAAGCACTACCACTCTCACCAGCACCAACACCTTGTGTTCACCACCAGCACTACCACTCTCACCAGCACCAACACCTTGTGTTCACCACCAGCACTACCACTCTCACCAGCACCAACACCTTGTGTTTACCACCAGCACTACCACTCTCACCAGCACCAACATCTTGTGTTCACCACCAGCACTTACACCTCAACCACCAGCCTCACCTCCTCTCTACCAAACCCTCTGTTCAGTAGTAGCACAATCACCACCACCTCCTCCGTTATTGTTAATGTTTTGTCAGTAAGATCAGATAACGCAGGTGTTACTCGTTTAATGGCCCGCTCAAGAGATTATTAAAAGAACCTTAAAAACAGTCAGGTCCTTAATTCAAGGTAGAAACTGCGTTGGTGACAGCATGACTCTTTACTGGCCCGCTGACTTGTGGCTGCAGAGGCAGGATAGGAATTTCAATTTACTATGTATTGCGACCTATGAAAAGGATGCAATGACTGAATTTGCATATATTTTCTTTCCATATAATTTTATATTGCTGACATTTTGATTAATAGCTAAAATAAAAATTTTGCGCTTTATATTATTACATGACTTATTATATCAGCTTATATATGTAAGTAGGATTAACAACTACACCTCTTATTTTGCTTGTTGTTGGAGAATCTTGATTGGCTGCCAACACTGACAAACTACCTGTTCGATTGTTATATTCTTCCCAGTCTCAAGCTGGTAGGAGTAACCTAATGTTGGTGCTGTTGGGCCTGCTTCACTCTCTCTCTGGCTGCTCCTGGTGGAGGAAACACACCTCATCTTCCTGCTCTGTCATCCCATGTCATTTAGACATATGATGAAAGACTGTTGTGGTAGATTATGTCTCCACTGGTGAGCCAGAACATGCATCTCATTACTCTCTGCTACTCAGTTCACAGAGCATTATTTAGACTTAGTATTATTTGACGTTTTCAGAGTTTGTGTCATGGAGACACTATATATCTTTGGTCCCGAGTTCAACTCTTGATCTACATTTGTTCTGGCATCTACACACTGTCGTAGTCAGGAAACTGGAATTGCTGAACTCAGTTTCAGTAATAAGGGAGTTTTATGTCTTTTGTGTAGGATCTGTTGAAAGTTCACAGTTAGGGTCATTTTTGGTCTCCTTGATTCCTTGCCTCATGCTGTGCTGTTCACTGCTGCTTCAAGCATTATTGCTGTTTGATGAATGGGTTATCAGTATATTGTTCAAGCAAGCCTCGATTTTTCAAAAATTAGATTATTTAGGGACTTGTTGTCAATCACATTTTAAATCTTAAGTCGATTCAATCACAGCAAATACTGAGCACTTACACAAATACACAAACTTACACAATATTACTCTTGTACTTATGAGTACATCTCATCGTATTTATCATTATAATCAAAATGAATTGCTAAACCTACAAGGGTCATACAGCGCAGCACATCTCATCATAGCAACGTACCAGACGGTACTTATTACGAGTAGAACAGTAACTTAAGTGTGTACTTAGCACCATATGAGTATATGTGAAGATTAAATATGATATATACTCCTACCGTCAGGAAAGGCTCCTTGATGCTGGTGAGGGGCTCTTGATCTAGGGTATTGGATCTGTGTTCATGTTCCTTAAACTGATCCTGAATACCTTCCACCCCCTCCCCACAGGATCTGTATAACCCCCATGGATTTAGTGCTCCCATGATTATAACATGATATATGATTATAAAAAGATATACTCCAAGTGTTGTGTAGGAACTTATTTACTTAATAATTCAAGATTCATTAACTGTGAATACCACCTAGACAACTTTGTTATTAAAGATCTAAACTTTATTTGATTGGTTTGTATTCATCCAGTTGCAGTCCAAAAAGCGCTACTGGGAAGCAACATGATTTTACAGGATAACTGGACCAGAATGCTCTCTGACAAACTGTCATGAAACCATTAACAGGCTAGATGCTAGAAGGGATATCTATACTTTATAGATGTCGCATTTTGT